TCTAGGCAGCAGCAGTGGGTCCCTTCCTCCCTGCTCAAAGATTGTGGCAGCTGCAGGAGCAGGAAGAAGAAAAGCAGGGAGAATATCAAAGAGGCTGCTCTCCAGCTAACAGCCAAGGTCCCCCTGTCTTCTAAGTTTGTCGTGCTGTGGAGGAAGCAGCTTTTTTTTTCTTTTCTTTTTCTTTCCCACAATACTGGCCCTAGAGGCTGCCATTAGACACAGACACAGACACAGACACAGACACAGACACAGACACAGACACTGACACACACAAAATCTCACATAGCCCCGGACAAAGTAGAAGGCAATCAGAGAGCCCCTCTTTGCACTCCAGGATGATGTGCTCATGGTCAGAGTGTGTGTCTGCCTCTGGAAATAGAGAAGGTGCTTTAGTGCCTGACAAAGACTCAGAGAACCAGAGCGAGGAGGAGAGAGAAGCAAATAGCTACAGAGGCCAAAATCATCCCCATGGGCTTTTCATTGATCAGGAAGGTCACTACTTTGGGGAGGCACTAATGCCTCTATTGGGATATTGATCTGCAGCACATTTCATGCATTGATCTATGTCTAAAGAGAACAAACAAGGTCTCAATATGTCAGCCTTAGCAAACCTGCCCTATAAGAGGGCCACAAGTCATTCTGAGAATGATACAAATTGGTCCATCTGTTTCCATGGGCATGAGAATCTGGTGGCAGTGGATAGAACACCAGACTTGGAAGACCTGAAGTTGAATACTGCCTCAGATACTTTGTGGCTCTGAGATCCTGGTAAAATCAATTAACTTTTTTTGGCCTCAATTTCATCATCTGCAAAATGGGGATGATAAGTGTACCTACCTCACAGAATTGTTTTGAGGATCAAATGACTTAAGAAATGGAAGGGTTTTGCAAATCTTAAAGTACTATGAAAATATCAGTTGTTATCAGTCATGTCCATGTCTTTGTTGCTCCATTTGGGGTTTGTTCAGCAAAGATAGTGGAGTCCTTTGCCATTTCCTTCTCTTGCCCATTTTACTGATGAGGAGTCTGAGGTAAACAGGGTTAAGTGACTTGTCCAAGGTCCCACAGCTAGCAAGTATATGAGGCCATATTTGAACTCAGGAACAGATACAAAAACTCAATGAAGAAAATGACTCTATTGGTAATAAACTGATAATTGATGTTCTTCCCTTTCCATGAGATTTTAAAATCCCATTGTGATGGGAAAAGCTCAACCTTTTGTTGTTCAGTCATTCCGTCTTAACTAACTCTTGATGACCCCATGGACCACAGCACACCAGACCCTCCTATTCTCCACTATCCCATTTAAAAAATAAAACCCTTCCAACAAATGTGTGTGAGGAAGGATAACAAGTATCTCCAATGGCCACATTCAAATATAATATATTTCAATTTAAACTCTGGCAACATCTCCTTTCTGTCAGGAGAGGGGCAGCACAGTTCATTGTGAGTCCTCTGGAATCAGCTGTCCCTTTTCTAGATGTCCAGAACTGTCTCTAATTATTTATTTTATAATACCCCCCCCCGTAAATTTTACTGGCTTCTCTATTTCCCCCCAGTCTTGCATTTTTGAAATTGCATTTTTGAACTTGAGTAAGACTTTACCTATATCTTATTGAATTGTGTCTTCTTAGATTGAGATCAATGTTCTGGCCTTTCAAAATTTTATTTGCTCTTATTTTGATGATGATGATGATAAACAGAGACATAGAGAGACAGCGCACTATTACAGCTCTTTTATTCTGCAAATTTGTTAAGGCTCCCGCAGATATCATTGTCTCATTTATTTCTAAAACATTTCAATGTCATTGGGCAAAACACAGATCGACTGGAAATCTCCTTTCCAGTTGTTCTGAAACTATGAACGACTTCTCTTTGAGCCCAGCCATTCAATCTATTCCAATTCCATCTTGTTTTAGCATATTTTAGCAGAAACATCAACACCTTGTACACAACAGTAGCATTACTTACTTTGTCCAACACTTTGTTTATTCTTTTTGTATATTCAGTGCTTATCATAGTGCCTGGCACATAGTAAGAACTTAATCAATGATTGTTGATTGAATATTCAATACATACCCATTTTGTAACCTTGTCAAAAGAGGAAATAAGCATAGGTTTTGTATGACCTCTTTTTTTTTTCTTTTTGGTGAGGCAATTAGGGTGAAGTGACTTGCTCAGAGTCACAAAGCTAGTGAGTGTGAAGTGTCTGAGGCCAGGTTTGGACTCAGGTCTTCCTGACTCCAAGGCTGGAGCTTTATCCACTGCACCACCCAGCTGCCCCTTATATGACCTCTTCCTGACACAGATATGATGGTGCTTTGTAATTTGATCTTCCTTTTCTTTTTCATTTAAATTTATTTTTTTTTGAATAAAGAAAATCTGCTTCTTCTCCCCCCTCCAATGCTCAGAGTTCCTAATTATTTCAAAAATTGTTTTTTTTCATGGATCTACAAGGTCCAAACAGGAAAGACCTTTCTCTAGGTGGCCTTGTTCTTGCCCCTGTGGGTATAGATAAAATCATGGTTCTTTTGTAATTATTTTATGACTCTAGTCATCATGTGACCATCTCATCCCATTTGGGTGAAGCTGACCATGGTGTCTTATTTCCCAGGATCCAAATTATATACAACTAACGGAAGAACTTCTGGATTTGGAAACCTTGAAATTTGAACTGTTTTGAGAATATTGGACAAATGTACATTGCCTAGTTATTGCTTGGCTGGCAGAAATGAGGATTTATTTAATTAGCATGATGTAAAAGTGAGGTCTGTCCTATGAGGGAATTTCCTCATTGGATGAGGAATCTAATGTTAAGAATAGGACTTAGAGCCTATTGGAAGAAAGGTATTTTTCATTGCATTGCCATTTGCTTCTTGGGATGCTGAAAGCCCTCAGAGTCCAGCCAATGGTGTACAACTGGAAAAATGCTGAAAATCCCAGACCTGCCTCCTCTTCATTTCCTGGGAAGTACTACATAGTAGGAATATTGTGGTTCAATAGAGTAAGGGGATAGTCTGCTTTGCTGACCCTTTCCCAGTAAAAGAACATAGCAGCCCTAAAGAGCAATCTGGTTAAGCTAAGGAGTACTGCAGCTTAGCAGTAGTGCCACTTATTCAATGCCAACACCATGCCCATCATCTCACTTTTGGGCAGGCTATTCTGGAGGAAAAAAAAAGAGATCAAGGCCCACAGTTCCAGAATTGTGAGTTACCCTGGGTACATGTGTTTCTTTTTTATTATTAGATTTTTATTTTTAATTTGTGGAATAAAACAAGCATTTTCATAATGCAGTACAAAAAAAAATGACTGCACATGAAACTGCAAATCTACAATGCACAACTTGTTATTCCTTTCAAATATGCAATGAAATTATCATGTAAATTTCTTCTTTTCTTCCCTCTCTCTGCCCTTGTCATAGAGATGGCTATCATTAGGCACAAATAGGTATATTAGTTTCATTTCTCAGTGGCCTCCTGATCGCTGAATCAGAGATTCATGATACAAAATTCTTGACGTTGCTACTACGTCTTTTAGAGAATTTTGTAGAATTTTTAGAAATGTATGGCAGGCATCTTTTTGGAGTGGAGTCATCAAGAAGGTATCTTAAATGTTTTCAAATAAACAGTAAAACAATCAAATACATTACAAATTTGTATTCTCTCTATCATTCAGTTTCTTGAGTGGATGAAAAGATATGGTATCCTATAGAACTATTTAATATGAAAGCCTGTCCATATTTTTGTAATAATTCTCTGTATAATGAATCCTCCATACAATAATTCCCTATATAATAAGTACTTACTGATTGACACTCATTTTATGCCTTATAAGCAATGCTTTCTACATTATGTGGATTATTCTTTTTTTTTTTTTTTGGCTAGGCAATAGGGTTAAGTGACTTGCCCAGGATCACACAGCTAGTAAGTGTCAAGTGTCTGAGGCCAGATGTGAATTCAGGCCCTCTAGACTCCAGGGCTGGTGCTCTATTTATTGAGCCACCTAGCTACCCACCTACGTAGGTTATTCTTGCATATATTTGATTTTTTTGGTTATTTTATTGTTGTCATTTGGTCATTTAAGTAATGTCTGACTCTTTGTGAACCCTAGCATTTCTTGGCAAAGGTATTGGAATGGTTTGTCATTTCATTTTTTGGCCCATTTTACAGAGGAGAAAAACCGGGTTAAGTGACGTGTCCAGGGTCATACAACTAATGTCTGAGGCTCGATTTAAAATCAGATCTTCCTGACTCCTGGACCTGGGCTCTATCTACTGCACCACCTTGTTAGGAATCATTAGTAATTTATATTTTCTTGTTTACTGTTTTAGGGTTATGAATAAGGTGCTAGATTTTAAGAAGCCTTTTATATCATCACTTCTCTCTCTCTTTATACGTATATGTATATATACATACATATGTGTGTTATGTGTGTGTAGACCTATCTCCATATCTATCTATTACATATCTATATCTATATATGTTTTGTCCCTTGATACCACTGTATACAAAAAGGCAATACAAAAATCATGGGTATTAGGAAAATGAAGTATATGAAGCAAAATATATGCAATGAAAATAAATCTTTAATCTTCTTTTCAGATAAGATGCAGAATGTGGAGAGAATAAAAGAAAAAGAAAAAAAAAGTGGAGTTTCTCAGTAACCAAGGCACAGGTTGAAGAGGAATATAGGATATTATGGTTGTAGAAATGGAAAGGAAGAATTTGTTCATGCAGAAATCATGGAAGAATTTCTATAACTCAAGGATGGATTGAATGGGGGGGAAAGGAGAGCTAACTATGAAATATGGCATCATCAGGTGCATGAAGTTGGGACCAGATGACAGTGGTGGAACAGGCAAGAAGCTCTTATTTAGTAGAGTGTAGAGTTCCAATGGGTTTCACTGGGAAATTTTGAATGTAAGATTAATTTGTGTTCATTGTTAAAAATCTCAAGCTATTAGTGGTAGCCTTGCAGAACATTTCAGAATGATTCTTGACTCAGGAACTGGAAATATTCTTTAACATTTTCTTGGTGTTCCTCTGTGGCTGCAGAAGGATCGCAGAGCATTTGGGAAGGATGATGCAGCCGAGCAAGCCAACACTGGAACACAAGATGGAGAAAATCTCCACGGCCACCATCATCTTCCCCTTGGTGCTCTGGTATGTGGGGAGGAAGGTGACCCAGACACTGAAGAACACCAGCATGCTGAAGGTGATGAACTTGGCTTCATTGAAGGTGTCAGGGAGATTTCTGGCCAGAAAAGCCACAGTGAAGCTCCCCAGGGCCAAGAACCCCATGTAGCCCAGGACAAAGTAGAAGGCAATGAGGGAGCCGTCATTGCACTCCAGGATGATGTACTTATGGTCAGAGTGTGTGTCTGTCTCTGGGAATGGGGGAGAGAGCAGCAGCCAGATTCCACAGAGCATGACTTGAATCAAGGTGCAAAAGAGATGACTGAAATGGGTACTCTGGAGCTGACCCATTTCCGCTCCTGCTGCCTGGCCTGGTGGCTCTGAAGGCCAGAACCACAGTGATGGTTTTGGCCAAAACAGAGGAGATGGCCACTGTGAACATGACTCCAAATGTTGTTTGTCTTAGGAGGCAATTGGTTGCAGTTGGGTGGCCAATGAAGAGCAGAGAACAGAGGAAGCAGAAGATAAGGGAGATGAGGAGAATGTAGCTGAGATCCCTGTTATTGGCTTTCACTATGGGGGTGTGTTGGTGCTTCACAAAGATCCAGAGGACCAGAGCTGTGAGGAGAGAGAAGCCAACAGATGTTGAGGCCAAAGTCACGCCCGAGGGTTCTTCATAGTCCATGAAGGTCACCACTTTGGGGAGGCACTGATTCCTTTCCTTATCGGGATATTGATCTTCAGGGCATTTCATGCATTGATCTACATCTGAAGAGAACAAGCATGGTCTCAATACGTCAGCTTCACAAACCTCCCCTATCACAGGGCCAACATATCACTGTTATAAAATACAGAATACTCCATTTGTTTCCATGGGGCTCAGAATCTGGTGGCAGTGGGTAGAACATGTGACTTGGAAGACCTGAGTTTGAAACCAGTCTCAGATACTTTGTGGCTTTGTGATCCTGGGTCAGTTAATTAACTTCTTTCTGTTTCAATGCATCATTTGGAAAATGTGGTTAATAATTGTGCTTCTGTAATAATGTTGTTATGAGTACCAAATGAATGAGAAATGTATAGTGTTTTCTAAACCGTAAACTGCAATATAAATTTTAGCTATTTTGGATATCATTCTTGGAACACTTTATAAATAAAAGCCACCAAAAATAATAACAATAATAACAAATGTATCAGCAGTGTGTCTTGATTTCCTGGACCTGAGCCACTGTCACAATCCTTCTAAGGGTCCATCTCTTCAGTTTGGAACTATCTGTTCTTTGTAATCTATTCTCACAGGAAAAAGGACTCCTTGATTGCCCTGAATACATGAGTCTTTCTAGATTTTTTCTGGAACTGTGTGTGGAGATGCAGGTCCTACAACTTTTAAAGCTCTTGCTTCCTTTGCCTTTCCTGTTGATGGTTAGTGTACTGATGATGGTGCATCTGTATGCAAGTAGGTATTGACATAATGTTTCTATGTAGAAGGCTTCCATTGCCTGCATGTGACCTGAGGGTACTTTACTTTCCCTCGAACTGTGTTTGCTGAGGAAAGAAGAGAGTGTCTACATAGATTTACTTGTTTGATTGGAAATCTGACCCTCTGGGCATGGGGCACAGTCGAAACAGCAGATGGGCTTTCCCTCGTTGGCTTTTACCTGAAATCCAGGGCCACAGCTTTTACTGCATCTGGAGTGAGGAGCCTTCACAGGGAAGTGTACAAAGGCTTAATGATGTGGGTTTGAGGCAGCATCATACATGTCTTAGTGTAGTTTCTTACCCATGATTAGTTTGTTTTTGTATATGCACACAACCTGACTATTCTGCAAAGCCTACTAATTCTATTTTCACATGACTAAAACAATCATTCTGCCAAGACTTTTTCAAGATTATTTTCCTTGCACAAAAGTCCCAAGTAGGCAAAGACCCTAGGAATTGTATTTCTTTTTAACTGCAGAAAAGAGGAAGCTATTGGAATCCGAACTAGAGGGTGAAATTTTTTCCACTACAAGGAAATTTTCAATTTTCTTGTAGAATGAAGAACATTCATTATTATACTTTGTTACCAACAGACATTTTCCCTAATATTCTTTAGAGCACTGTATTGTGAACGTCTTAAAAAAGGATGATGCTGACACTCCTCACATCACTAAAGAGCTCTCTGAGATTTGAGAATTTGGACTTTGCCAAATACATTCCAGAGGATTTCCTCAGGAAAACAAATATTATGACTCTAACTCTCTCTGTCTCTCTGTCTGAGTCTGTCTGAATCTCTGTCTGTCTCTGTCTGTCACTCTCTTTCTTTTTCTGTGTCTCTTTTTCTGTTTCTGTCTCTCTCTCTCAAGGATACTTCTCCATTATTTCTTCCTCCCACTCAAAAGTGATCTCCTTTACTAAGAGTATTTCTCAGTTGGTTCAATCAGAACTGAATGTGAACAGGGCCAATCTACTTCCTTGAACCAGTTAAAGGCATAGTTTGTGAGACTTGTCAATTACCAAAGGAATTCATATAAAAGGTTGCAGATGTCTCAGAACGAAAGCTTCTGAGGTCTGCAAGTGGAGAGATTGGAGCAAGCTTCATATTCCAGCATCATTCTCGGCAGCAAAGCCAGGGCTGAGCCATGGGAGAGGAGGGTGAATCCATAAAGATCATCAGCTCTATATCCATTTTGGAGCAGAAAACCCAGACTGCGGGAATTCTTGAGAAAATGTCAGCTCTTTCTCTCAATACCCCTACCTTGCCTGTTTACAGGCAGTGTATATATACACACATACAAACATATACGTATGTATGTGTATATGCATGTGTGTGTGCATGTGTGTCTATATGTATTTTTATCATTACCCAAATATTTTCAGGAACCTGAATTTTGCCTGAACCATGAAGAGGCCAGGTAGACAAAGTAGAGTTAGGCAGGGAGCCCAAACTTAGCCTTCAGTTTGACATTTCTCTAACCAAGATTTCAGTGCGCTTATTAATGGACTCATTATTTTTTGTCTAAAATACAATATCTAAATCATAGAGAAAGGAACCACATGTGAAAGATCATTGTTATTATCTTTGTATTTCCCCAACCCAGAAATCAGCAAATACAAATTCCTTAACAAATTATTTTTGCATGAATCCATGAATACCTGAATGAATGAGAAAAGAATTGTTTATTATGATCAAAATCACCCAAATTTAGCAAAACTTCCATTCTCTGAAGTGTTTAGCCTCATTAACATAAAAAATTTAAGTGATTAAACTGTTTATACCAACTTGATCAGGTGCGTTGGTCTATTCCATGGTCTAGTCCATCCTTGACTTGTTAACACTTGCTTTGTTGACGTTGCATTTTGCCCTTCAATTGTGATGTTGTCTGCAGCAGCAAAGAGATCCCTATAGTAGAGGGAGCTGGCATATTTATAAATGTGGAACATGGTGTGACAAAAAGGAGAAAACATTATTCCCATTAATGAGACATAGAGCTCAAAAATGGATAATCCATGGTTTTGTTCCAGGGCTCCAAAAGATTTAGAACCTTCATGTCACTGAGATGCCTGCAGAAGCAGGCTTTACTGTGCTTAGCAGCAAATCACTGAGAACCATTAGTTCTAATAGGAAGTTCCTGAATGTTGCTACTTCTTTCTACCCTGGGTGCCAGGGACCAGGTGGATTCTCTTGCTTCCCCAGCTGTGCAGTGGGGAAGTCTCACTGTTACTTCGACTCTCTCTCCCAAAGGGGCACATATTCTGATGTCCTTGTCTTTACCCTGGCTCAACTGAATTTGACATAAAAAATTAGTTTGGCAAGCTGCTTCCTCCAGGCAGGTTTTGTGTCCTTTACCCCCAGTATGATTTAAGGCTAGTGACTGTTCTGAAGTTCTGTATTCTTATGCTTACGTCTTTCATGAAACCCATATTTCAATTATTATTCACCTTTTTACCAAACTCAGGCCACTCTATTGACTTCTCTTGGATGGTGAAATCTTGGCCAAGTGGAGCTTGAGCACTAAACTCTCCCACTTTCACCAGAACTTCAGTATCATTATCGAAGGTCACATATTTGAGAATATCATAGCTCATCACTAAGTTCCTCTTGTTATCCAAGACCACCTGGTTCCCGGCACTGTTGTTAAACTGGAGGTTCTTCAGAAAGGAGTGGAGCTAAAAGGCAAGAATATGTGTTTGAAGTTCTTTAGTAGAGTATCTCAGAGGTGTGTGGTAGATTCTATGCCAACACTTTTTATTAATGTCTTGGATGTGAGGAAGCAGAATGCTAAAATATTTTGAGTGTCACAAAATTAGGATGGCTTTTTAATATATTGGATGACAGAACCAGGATCCAGGATAGAAGGTTAGGCCAAATCTCAAGCTGAAAGTAGGAAGTTTTGAACCTGGAGAAAAAGGCCAGAAAGATGTCCTCAGTTTGACGAGAGTGGAAATGGCAAAGGGGGCATGGAAAGAGAGCTTGCAATGAAGATTTACAGGAGGTAGGCACAGCAGAGGTTAACCCCTGGCATTAATCAGACTACTTCCAATGGAATCCTATAAGTTTTTGTAACCATTTATTAAGTGCCAACTGTTTGCAAGGCACTGTGCTAAGTCTTGGAGGTATAAAATGCAAATACATTCTATATGCCCTTAAAAAGCTTACGTTCTACTGGAGGATCCAACATTGAAACAGAAAACCAAATACTTCATAATTCCAGAAGGAAGAAAATACTGCCAAATAGGGAGAAAAGGACTAAGAATTTCTATAGCAACTAGTATTTGCCAGGCACTGTCCTGAGTAGTTTGTACAAATATTATCTCATTTGATAAGGGAATTCAGAAAGGATTTTTGTAAGCACATCAATTGAGTCTGTAAGGAAGCTAGAGATTCTAGAAGGCAGAGGTGAGGTAGGAGGAGATCTCAGGCTTAAGGGCCTATGCAAAGGCGTGGAGCTGGGTGATGTAGTCCTAAACTCATAGAAGAGCCAGCACTCTAGTTTTGTTGAAACATAAAATGCATTAGAGGCACTGTGTGAAATTAGCTTGGAAAGCTGTAATTGGAGAGGGAAGAATTTTCAATTCTAAGCTGAGGAGTTTTTATCTTCTCTTAGAGGCTATAGGGAGCCATTGATGGTTCTTGACCAAGACTATAACATCGTGTTTAGTCAAGGGAGTGGCATGATCAGAGATTTTTGAGATTGTTTTGGTACACTTTGTCTTGGTTCCCTCCCTTGGATTTATTTGTATTAACAGTTTTATGTTATATATTTTAATATTTATTTTGTGTACATATACATGTTTCATATATACATACACAGAAATGTATAACATATACTTTTTGTGTATACACACATTTATTGTTCAGTAGTTTTGTTCTTTTGGTTTTGAAGACAACCAATGACACAGTGGTGATGTTTTAACTGGTGCATGAATTGGGTATGTGAGGCATATTTGTCCAAAGTCATCAGCCTCACTTTCTCATCCTCAGTCATTGAAATCTAGTGACAGGACAAAAGTTAAGATGACTGGGATGGCCCAGGATGAAGTGGATGACCTTAGCATAACCGAGCTCAAAGTGATCCATAGCTCCTGTCCCAGCTGACTTTATGAATGGTGGAGCAAATCATTCTCATTTACCCAATCATCTAGGGACAGTATTCACGTGAGTGAGATAGACAAGCTCATAACTCAGTAATGGGTTTCAGGTCTTCTGGTTATTCTCAGCCTTGTTGAGCTTGTCTGCCCAGATGGTTTCCTGGATGGTATCTGCTGCCCTTACTACAACTTCTTGGAGTGAGAATTGGAGGAGAATTGATGAGAATTGGATGAATCAGGACACCAAAGAGATGAATAAAGCTGAAAAGGGCTCCACTATTACTCACACCAGAGATGATAATCCTCTAGAACACCCTACACACACACTCATGCACACACACACGTTATTTTTGGTCAATCATTTATGTCATGTCTGACTTTTGGTGATTCCATTTAGGGTTTTCTTGGCAAAGATACAGTGGTGCTTTGTCATTATGTTCTCCAGCTCATTTGACAGTTTAGGCAAATGAGGCAAACAGGATTAGGTATATTGCCCAGGTTCACAAAGCTAGTGAATGTTTGAAGCTATATTTGGACTCAAGAAGATTAGTGTTCCTGATTTCAGGCATCCACTGTGCCACTTACCTGAACATATCTATTTATGTATCTATACATCCACACAAATAAACATATATAGGCACATTTATGTATATGTGTGCTTGTACATGCATTAACATGCACAGGTATATATAAATACACCAAATATATGCATATATATGAATAAATAAATATTTAACTAAAAATACATATATATGCACATATATGTGTGTATGTGCATATGAACACACACATATCTTGTGTCCTCTATGATTAAGTTCTTGAGAGCAAGGTTTTTTAATCTTTGTTTTCATATCTCCATATCATATCATATTACCTGCCACTTAGTAGGAACATTATAAATGCTTATTGGTTGATTGAGTGGCAGCTCTGTAAGTGATGAATTGGAGATAAAAGAAAGAAGAATCTCAGAGGACAGCTAGGAGACTTTTCCATTCAACAGTCACCTACAAAGTAGTCTAGGCACCATGCTAGTGCTCGAGACTTAAGACAGAAATAAGATAAATCACTGCCTCAAGGACTTTATATTTTAGAAAAGCCGATATACAAATCCCTGTTTTGAGATTTAATGTCACATGTTAAGATTTAGTTCTGAAGATGGATATGCCCTCAGAGGCCATTTGGCTCCACTCTCTTTATTTACAGATGAAGTCTAGGGAGGTCAAGGGTCTTGTTCAATGGCACCTGGGGAGTAAGTTTCAGAGGCAGTATTTGGAAGCTGATCCTCAAACTTCAGAACCAGGGCTCTATCCACTGCACCATGCTGCTGTGGAGTAACTAAAGCTGCCAGACAAAGAAGAGACATCTGGCTTGGGCTTCCTCAGACCCTGGTGGAGGCATGGACCCTAAAGTGCTGATGCTTCTCCCTTCCCCATGACATCTTCCCTGTCAAAGACCTTAGGGAAACAAGTGAACTGGATTCTCACTTCTATATCCTGTCGCATGGATCTGAAATGGTGACGACTCTGAAAAGACCAGAAATGACATGTTATGCCCTGAGTCTACCTGTCTGCAGTGCAGGGGTTCCCGACTGAAAAAAATGAGGTGAGCTGAGTTACTAAACCCTTTTCTCTTTTCTGGACATGACAGTTCCCACAGTCAATGATTTGGACATCAGTGCTTATAGGGGGCCCTTACCTTCCAGGGGTAAACAACTCTGTTGTCTCCATCTATATTGGATTCCATTTCTAATCTCACCAAGGACATTTCATGAAGGGCCCAGGCCACAGCATACACAGCATTGTAGACAGCGTAGCTCTGGGCAGACATAGCAATGTTTAAATAACTGAAATGTAGTGTGTCCAAGGAAGCATTTGGTGAACAGATGCCTTCGTCTTCCTTTCCAGGTTTATATGTACATCCAAAAGCTGTGTTCCAGAAGTTCTTGAGGAAAATATCCTCTGGGTACTTGACAGGGTTAATGGTTTTCAGAAAATGTTTGAACCCAGGAATCTTACTTGTCTGATCTGACAATATCAGAGCCCCACTGAAATAACCAAAATAGGAATAACTAGGTTTTTTGGACAATATCCCAGTGACTGCTGGTGATCCACATTTTTCTTAGAATGTGATGAAGATTCTTGGTAAACATCAGGCTGAGGAGTGAATTTGTATCTCCATAAATGACAATCACCTTGGCTGTATAAAATGACATTCTGCCCATAAAACCTCTAGACTTTTCCAGATCCAGTGACTGCCCAGTGATGATCCTCTCTATAAAAGCCACGCAGACATCATTTCTGACCATTTCTTCTTGAAGATTCCTGAGGAATTTCTCACCTCTTGAATCATCTGAGGTAACCAGTCCCACCCAGGTCCATTTGAAACGCAGCATTAATTTGACCATGCCAAGGGGAAGAAATGTGTCCCTGGGACAGAAGGAAACTGTATTGGGTCACTCAAGAGTGGATCAAAGAGACCATAGGTGACCTGAATAGGAAGCAAATAGGAGGCTTTTTTAGTTCAATGAATTCAGATAGTCCATATTTTTCCACCTACCATCTCAACTTACTAATTTCATCTCCTTGTACCTAGAATGGACTCATTCTTCATGTCTGCTGGTTAAAGTACTTTTGAATATTCAGCCCTCTTTTCAGGTCTCCTATCCTTCATAAAGCCTACCCTTGATGTGATTTCTGACTTTTTACTTCTTAGTAGGATCAGCACTGAGCACAGGTCCTTGCAAGAATTAGATGTTTAAAAAATATTTGCAAAATTCAATAGAATTTTTTCCAAAGCATTGTGGGCCAGAATATTCTGCTTGCTAAAAGTCACGATGAAGGGAAGCATTCTGATCCCCTCAATCTGTTTCTTTTTCTTCTCTGAGAGCCACCTGGAAGATAAATTAGACACCAGAATTCCCCCAAGCTACTTGGGATTTGTATTTCCAGTGGCAGACCCTGAAAAGTCTGCCTCTGTCCTCCAACCAGATAGGTGAAACTGAGCCTATGATTTCCCTACCTGTGGGAACTTATAGAGCTCAAGCAGGGGTCCGATGGCAACAGTTAATTCAGAAGTGGCTCCTCCAATGATTGCTACAGACTTGCCCTGCCTCTAATAGCAGTAATTTGGAATGGTGCGTCGCTGGCCTGACAGCCACATGAGGGAACTCTCCAAGGTCCTCTCATCACTGCGATAGGCATTGTAGATGTGGAATCCCAGGGTAATGTTGGGTAACAGATTGGGTTTCCTGTTGATCTCTTCTACAGCAAACATCAAAGCCAGGACCTGATAGTAGTGTTTGGGCAGCCACCTGCAGTGGGAGGGATATTATGAGGGACAAGAAAGTTTTTTGGTTCTCCCCTCCCCCTGAAAAGGACCTGACAGTTTCAAAAGGAGGATATCCTTAGCCATATGAAGGTGCAATTTTAGGTGCCCAGTGCTACTCAGATATGGTCACAGCTACCTTTTTAGTCACTGTTATACTCTGAATATTTTACTCTATTACTATCAATGACTTGGGCACCAGGTCTTTTACCACCATACTACTACCTGGCCCCGAGGGCTCAGAGGGCAATATCAGAGATTTTCTCCCACCCCTTTCCAGCTTTTTGAGAACATTTAGTATATGACAGCAGTTTTCTACCAACTACCAAGGCATCTCCAAAAATTACAATCAGCTAATGCAAGAACTATCAAAATTCTTCAGATAATTAAAAATATGAAATTTTAACAAAAAAACATTGTAGTAAAATGTTGCAAAAATGAAAAAATAACACAAAGTATGGTTAGAAAAAGTGACATTAGGTTGGTAAAAATTATGTATAGACCATCACATCAAACCATATCTCAATATAATCTCAAATGAATACATAACAGAGATATAACAGCTAATATCACAAACAAATTGGAGGCACAAGGAAGAAATTTCTTTTCATCATTTTAATTGGAGAGGAGTTCATGACCTAATAAAGTGTAGAGAGCATTAAAGAGATAAAATGGAAATTTCTGATTACATAAAAGGAGTAAAAATGTTTTCACCCCACAAAATAATCAAATGCAGCTAAGATTAGAAGGGTAAAATTTAACTGGTAAAAGTCTTTGCATTACATTTCTCTATTGAAAGGTCTTATTTCCAAGCTATATGAGGAATTGCTTCACAGTTGTAAAAGCAAGAGCCATTTTCCAATCAATGAACTGTCAAAAGGTATAAACAGGGAGTTCTCAAGGGTAAGAAATCCAAGCTATCGCTAGCCACATGGAATATCTTCCAAATAGCTAATAATTAAGTGAATGCAAATAAACCCAACTCTGAGTTTCCAGCTGATATGTATCAGATTGGCACCATTTAAAAAAAAGCCAAATGTGTGTGTGTGAGGTATTAGGTGGTGGTTATCTCAGTGTCCTGTTGGTCAAGCTATGAATTTGTCTGGACATTCTGGAAAGCAATTCATATCTGTGGCCAAAAAGATACTGTAGATATCTTTTGACCAAGCAATCCCTGAAAGAGTTAAAAAGAAAAAGGAAAAGGATGTATATGTTAAGAAACACATAGAGTAACCTTTTTTTTTTAGTGGCAAAGAACTGGAGATGAAGGGGTTGCCCATTGATTAGGGAATGGCTGAACAAATTAAGGAATATGGATGTAATGGAATGTGATTGTGCTGCTGAAAGTGAAGAAAGATGATTTTAGAAAAACATCTGAAGACTTGTATGAACTGGTGTAGTGTGAAGCCAAGAGAATCAATTATTGTTTAACAGAAATATCGTCCTGGCAAGCAACTCCTAAAGGCTTCAGAACTCTGAGCAATACAATGATCAACAATGTTTCCAGAGGACTGAGTATGAAGAGTGTACCCACTTCATTGTAGAAAGCTGATGGACATGTATAAAAAATGAAACACTCATTTTTAGGAATAGCCAATGTGGGAATTTGTTTTGCATTAATATACTTAATTATTACATTGGTTTTCTTTTCTTATTTTCAGTGGGAGTTTAGAGGTGATAGAGAAACAATAAATACTTGAGAATTAAAAAAATTGTTACAATATAATAGAATAAATACTTACTGATATTCTTTAGAAATGTGTCGTGGGTGTTGCCTAAACATTTTCCAATATGGAAATTTGCTCAATTTATATAAAAGTAGAGGAAAAAATCCCCCAATAACAAGATCCCCATGTCTGTATGTGGGGCAGAAAGTCCTTTCTAGGCAGCAGTGGGTCCTTTTCTCTCTGCACAGGGAGACTGACACCTGCAGAAGGAGGCACAGAAACAGCAGAGAGAACATCAGGGAGGCTGGTCACCAGTTCACGGCCAAGGTCCCCCTGCCTTCTAGCCAAATGTGTGATATGCTGTGGAGGAAGCAGGGCCACAGCGGCTGTAGCAGCCTCAGGGTCCTTGGGGTGGGGAAACTCTGCTGCAGATGAACTATTTCTTTCCTGAGCAACAGCTCAAGGTTGGCTCCACCTCTCACACTTGTAGAGACTGAATGCAATATGACTCGGGACCATGGCCACGACAGAGGTGTTGCTGGCTAGGCCAGGATGTACTTATGAAGGTTTGCTTTGGCTGAGATCACTGTAAGTGCCCTTATTAGTGTATATGGGTAGGATTCTGTATTTGCAATCCCCCACCTAGACAGAGAGAGCTCAGTCCTTGAGGGATTCTGGGGACCATTGTTGCTTGGGGCTCTGCACCTGTGTCCCTGTATCTGAGTGCAAAACTTGTTTTCCTCACTCTTCCTTCCCAACTGTGTATTCATCACTGTTAATTGGGTTAAAGTGAGTAGGAGCCACAATGACTTCTCCTGGGTCAGGGAAACCTCCTAGTAGGACAGAAGTTATGAAAGAACTTGTATTCTTACAGTGACTCTAAACTTGTGTGAGTTGCATCAGAGCAGAGTCTGTGAGAGGTGACAAGGTCACAAAGTTGTAGCAATTGAATGGCTAAGGTTTTCTATGATTTCAGTCTTGTTTCCCTCCTCCCCCCCATCCTCAAAACAGACAACCCTGAAACCTAGGGTTACTCTCTGAATATTATTCTCTGATGTGGGTCCTGATAGCTTTTTCCTAGTTCTCCAGCAGCACATAGAGATTTTTGTAGCAGTTATTGCCTGACACAGAGCCCAAACTAGTGATTGTGATGAGAATTTTTTAAATTAATTTATTTTGAATTTTCAACAATCAATTCCATATGCTTTTGAGTTTTAAATTTTTCTCCCTTTCATTCCCCACCTCCCTCCCCAAGATAGCCCACAATCTTATATAGGCTATACATATACATTCATATTAAACTTATTTTCATATTAGTGATGTTGTAAATAAGAATTGGAACTAATAGTAGGAACAACCAGAAAGAGGAAAGAAAACAGAACAGAAGAAAAAAATAACAAATAGTATACTTCGATCTGCATTCACACTCCATAGTTCTTTCTTTGGATGTGGATAGCATTTTCCATCATGAAGCCTTTGGAGATGTCTTAGATCCTTGTATTGCTGAGAAGGGTTAAGTCTATCAATATCAGTCATCGCACAACATGTCTGTTACTGTTTATAACATTCTCCTGGTTCTGCTCACTTCACTCAGCATCAGACCATACAAGTCTTTCCAGGTTTTTCTGAAGTCACCCTGTTCATCATTTCTTATAGCACAAGAGTAATCCATTACTTTCATATCCCACAACTTGTTCAGCCCTTCCACAATTGATGGCCATCCTCTCAATTTCCAATTCTTTGTCATCACGAAAAGAGTTGCTATAAATATTTTTGTACATGTGGGTCCTTGTCCCATTTGTATGATCTTTTTGGGATATGGCCCTTAGAAGTGCTGTTGCTGGGTCAGAGGGTATGCACATTTTGATAACCCTTTGTGCATAGTTCCAAATTGCTCTCCAAAATGGTTGGATCATTTCACAACTCCACCAACAACGCATTAGTGTTTCAATTTTCCCATATCTTGTCCAACATGTATCATTTTCTTGTTTTGTCATGTTGGCCAATCTGATAGGTGTGATGTGGTACTTCAGAGTTGTTTTCATCTGCATTTCTCTAATCAATAGTGATTTAGAGATTTTTTTTTTCATATGGCTATAGATGGATTTAATTTCTTCATCTGAGGACTGCCTGTTCATATCCTGTGACCATTTATCAGTGGGTGATGGGATGTGAATTTCTAACAAATCCTGCTGTAGAAGAACCCATTTTTTAATTCTTGTCACTCCATTAACCAGCCTCTCAGTTCTCTGCTTGCTTAATTCTGGACCAGGCACATCAGATTTCAATTCTGTACTGAAAACAAAGGACCATACAACATCTCTCCACTTACAGAAATGCCATGTTTTTATAGGCTGACGATCAGTGATATCATGAAATGAACCATTGAAAATTAGAACAGGAATTCAATAAAGATCCATTATGAACCTACTGTCGCAATGGCATAAAGAACTTTCTCAATGGATAGTTCTTAATACCAATGAAATTATGGGTCTAGTTTTAATCCTAAGTTGTATGTGTAGGATTCTGGGAATCTAAAGAAAAAAATTCAAACAGTCCCTGCCCAAAAGTAGTTTTCATTCTACTGGGAACAAAACTATCAGAAGAAACAAATACTTCTCTTCTTGTATCTGTGATGATACTCTAAGCCTGATGCCAATATGGTAGCAAGGTCACACTGAGTTGTTTCTTGTCCCTTCCCACCACACTGAGTTGGCCATCCTGTTCTACTAAAGAGGTGGATGTGCTCATAACGTGCAGACTAGGGAGTCGTGTCTCATCAGTGTTCAGCTGGGGGGTCCCGAGCTCCTTGCAGCCAGAAATACCATATCCAGTGTCAGACTGTATAACTAGTGAGGTGATAGAGGTGATGGGGAAGGGAAGGAAGCGAAGAAGAATAAGGGGATGAAAGTGAAGAAAAAGAAAGGAAATAAAGAGCAGTTAAAAAATAAGAGAAGCAGAGGAAAGTGAGAAAAAAAGAGAAGAAAAAGGAAACAGATAAGTAGAGGAAAAGTGAAGGAAGAGAAGAATTGTAACAGTAAGGAAGACAAAAGAATGATGGTGATGATGATAATGACAATGATGATGATGATGATGATGGCATCAATAGTGTGGAGAAGAATACAGAAGTAGAAGGAAAAAGAGAAAGATGAGAAGAAAAAAGAGGAAAAGTAAGAAAAGGATATGAAGAAATGATCCACATTTATATAACACTTCCTCTGTTGCATTGGGATTTCTCCATAACAATCCAGTAACGTAATTGTCTATTATTATTCTCATTGTTTATTTATTTATTTTTTTGGTGAGGCAATCTGGGTGAAGTGACTTTCCTGGGATAACACAGCTAGTAACCATCAAGTGTCTGAGTCTGGACTTGAACTCAGGTCCTCCTGACTCCAAGGCCAGTGCTCTATCCAATATGACACTTAGCTACTTGTTATTACTCTCACTTCAAAGACAAAAACCAAACAAAATAAAACACAAAACTAAGGTGCAAAGGCAAGAAAGAACTTGCCCAGATCATATATCCCAGGACAGAATACAAGTCTGGGTATCTTGATCCTTCTGCTAATATACCATATTGCCTGTCAGTGAGGTCATTTAAATCTTAAGAGTATATTGACAAAGAATTAAGAGCTTTGGTGAATTCAAAGACCAACCATGATTCCAGATGGTTTTCGTTTTAACTGTCACCTTTGAGATGCTGTGAAGAGACACTTTGAGGTAACTCAATTTGATTGCCGTTCTGTGGGGAACTGTATTTCATTCCCAAAATATGGTTAAATTGTATTTCATCCCTGACAACATTAGAAAAGTTAACTTTAGTTCAGTGGAAAATGTTCTGAGGAAAATTCCTGAGGGGAATGGAGAGACTTTAACTTCATCCTGAAAGAACTGAATTGTTGGGCTGTTGTTCCGTTGTTTTGGATGGGTCAACAGTGAGAGTTGTTGATGAGCGTATTCTAGGTGAGAATATCTTCATTTTCCTGCCTTTGTAGAGCACAGGGCCAACCTTTCCTTATAACCAATGCATTGTAGAAATATTTATCTATCTCTTTGCATCATTCTTTGGGCTGGACTCAGGACACTTCTATATCCTAGATGGCCTTCTATTGACTCTCTCCAATCTATCGATGTTCAATCTAAACTGTGGCACTAAGAAGTGAACACAGTGCTTCAACTTTTGTCTGATGAGTACAGAGTACAGTAGGACTATCACCTTATTCCTCATAGTTATGCCCCTCTTAATTTGGCAAGGTCACATGAGGTTTCTGACTGCCATACTGAATGGCAATCCATTTCTAAATCTTTTGTTCAGACTGTTGAAGTCTGTTTCTCCCCAGTGGAAAAGAGAGAAAAATAAAACTCTTATATGTATAGTGAAGCAAAACAAATCACTCCTTTGGCTCTCAATTTATACTCTGGGAAAGTCACCTGTGTCATCAGGGCGGTCAGCATGTTTCATCATGAGTTCTCTGGAATCATCTCTCGCTTTTCTACATCTCTAGAACTAATTCTGTAGTTATTTATTCTGGATTTTCCCCCAGAAATCAAAATAAATTCCACTGGCTTCTATACTGTGCCCCAATTTTGTACTTGTGAAAATGCATTTTTAAACTTGTATAAGATTTTACGTATCTCTTTATTGAACTCCATCTTCTTAAATTGAAGTCAGTATTCTGGTATTTCAAGACCTTATTTGCTTTCGTCAGAGAGAGAGAGAGAGAGAGAGAGAGAGAGAGAGAGAGAGAGAGAGAGAGCGCGAGTGAGCTCTTTGTTTTCTTTCTGTAAATTTGTTCAGGATGCTAACTATGCCTTTGTCTTATTCATTCATAAAATGTTAAGCATATAGGATAAAACATAGATCCCCTGGAAATCTCCTTCCAAGTTTATTTAAAAACATTCCTGATTTCTCTCTGAGTCCAATCATTTAACCAATTGCAATTCCATCTCAGTGACTTATATTTTGGGTAGCTATGTGGTATAGTGGATAGAGCACAGGCCCTGGAGTCAGGAGGACCTGAGTTCAAATCCAGACTAAGACACTTGATAGTTACTAACTGTGTGACCCTGAACAAGTTACTTAATAACCCTGTTTGCCTCAGTTCCTCAACTCTAAAATGAGTTGGAGAAGGATATGGTAATCTACTTCACTATCTTTTCCAGGAAAACCCCAAATGGGATCATGGAGAGTTGAACTCCATGATTCAACAACAACAATAAAGCAGTATGTTTTAGCAGATACATTAATATCTTTTGCACAATAATAGCATTATATGTTTTATCAAATAATTTG